TCTGAAGCCGTGAAAAGTCCTAAGAAAACTTTTCTCTTGGAAAGTGTATTAGATGTGTCCCCTTCTTCTATTTTCAAAAATCAATACCAACACATTATAAACCCTTAAGCTTCTAAAAACGTTTGCAACTTACTTGCATTTATTAAGAAAAACTTCCTGAACTTAGAAAAGTAACAGAATGAGATTTTTCAAATAATATTTGGTTTACTTTCTCACATCCTGACTTTTTATAACTCTTTTTGCTCGCTCATCAATATACAAGTACTGTCCCATGTACCTTTTGATAAAAAGTGTACAATTTATCAGTGAAAAAGATAACTTCGCTGATTAACAGATTAACAGTTCTACTTCTCAGCAACCTACATTTTACAGTTTAACATTAACATTATTACAGCTTAGCGATGTAAGAGATTAACAGTGCTTCCCTATTTAAATGTTCAGCATCACTATTTTGACTATCAGATTTATTCATATTGCTCTCAAACAATACAATCAAGTTTCTTCAGCCAGTTTTGAATTAATATTCAATTCAAGAAATTATATAGTCGCGATCATGAACTACTACAAGTTCATGGTTGCCGAATAAAATACCACTTATGAGTTGTTTTGCCAGTAACTGGCTTACTCTCACGTTAATTACAGCGCAGCTGAGACAGCTGAGTCTGTTAATTAGATACTTTAGTAATGTTAATCGTATAGAAGTTCTACTGTGTGTGGCGCGGCACAGTCAGTGCATCGCTTGGCGTAGCAGAGCGCGGTTTACTCTAACAAAGCTCTTAAGCGGTTGACATTCGCCGCTGCTTGGCCGTGACCAAGAAGTAGTCTCAATCTCAATGCAGAAGCGGCCGGATCGGTATCATCATCATCGTCATTATCGTCTCGGTTGTTTTTGTTGTCGTTGCCGCTGTCGGCAGAGCGTGTTTCGATTTCGCGGCTTTGGCAAATAAAATTAATTACGAACGCATTATTCGTTTTATTACAACTTTTTTCTTGTTTAGACGCTAAGCCAAATCTGAATCAGAAACTACACAATGAGAGGCAATAGACTCTCAGTCTCAACGCTGCTGCCACTCATGGCCTTTCTGCTCTGCTGCAGTTTAGTGCCGGAGGCTACCACAATAGCCATCGCGCCCTCCACATTTGGGACGGCCATAGCCCGGGCGGGCAAAATCTCCAACACGCTAAAGGTGAGTTTACGGAAAGAAAGCCAACTCTAACGCGATTTACGCGGCTCTGCATAATTGTGTACACATGTATGTACATACATGTGTTGTGTATATAGAGAGTGTGCCATTTATTTGGAAGCAAACAAAGAAGCGAAGACGCGCATGTGTCCAACTCACAACAACAAGCGAAGCGTGCCAGCGCACTATGAGGCCAATATTTCATGTTGTTGGCAAAAACTAAAATTTCGCGACTGTCTTTTTGGCATAATTGTGATTGGCTCAACTAATGGAGAAGATAACTAAGTAAATAGAAAATATGGACACTAAATAATAGTTAACTGCTCATTAATAATGAATTGTCTATGCAAATAGTTTGTGTTACTTTAAGAAGCAATGTCAACAATTGTTGCTCATTGTTCTTGACACTGGCGAGTTTATTGGGCTAATCTCTCATTTCATTCAATTAGTACTTTTTTATCCTTTTTGGTAAAAACTAACATAAATATACTTCAGCTACTTTTTGGTGCAATTAAATGACTACCACCTTAAAATGTTGTTGGAATATTAATCAATATTCGCATGATCCAAGTGTCACAAAATATTCAAAAAGTAAATAAAGTTGAATGAAACAGTTTCTAAAAAAATCACAGTAAATGTAAGTTAGCAACCCAAATGAATTAAATGTACTAGAATGGCAAATTTTCACGTTTATCTATTTTTAAAAAAGAATAAATTTATTTTGCAATATTGATCGTAAATTGTATTTGTTGTTGTACAATATACTTTTAATACTCTAATCCCAAAGGGTAAAATAGAGGAGTAAAATATTATAAAGTATATATGTATGTATACTTTTAAAAAATTAAAATGTTGATTAAATAATGCACGATGCATTTAACAATTAACTTATGCATATGATCAATGAAAAAACGTAAAGAAATCTAACTCAGATCCATTTTAAGGCGAAATAATGCGTCATAATAATGAACGTGTGATCGACTTTAGATGGCAACATTTTTTCTAGGGGGGGTCAACGACCCCCCCCCCCCCCCCCTGCCTTCGCCCTTGTATGTATATATGTTCTCGATCAGAATGACAAGACGAGTCGATAGAGAAATGTCCGTCCGTCTGTCTGTATGAACGCAATGATCTCAAAAACTAGATCTAGAATGACCAAACTAGTGGGATGTTTAGGGTGAATGAATTCAATCAAATATTGATTTGAATTGAATATAGAATCGAAATTAAAGTTCGTCGACTATTCTTTTGATTCGCGCCATGGTGCGGCGTACGATTTTTTGCTGAATTTCGTTTTAGTTTCAATCAAAACCGAACGGGCGTACGACTTTGACACCCATGTCGAAAATTGCCGTTTCTTGTTGTTTTCAAGTAATTCAACACTTGAGCGACAACAGCAACAGCAATATGGTTGTTGTTGTAGTTGTCGCCAGTAGCCGAAATGAACGTCATGCTATTGTCTTCAGCTGTTTGGGCGTTTTGAGTTATTGCCTTTGTTATTGCCATGGGCACACACTCGCACCAATCACACATCACACCTGCCACACACGCACACACACACATACATTACGAGAGTGTGGGGCATGCATTTGCATGTGTCTGTTAATGAATTTTATGAGTTGCACATTAAACTCAATGAATTCGTCATATCGACTTCTGGACGGAGAGGTGTTGGCTCTGCCTGGCATGGCCATAAGGCCTAAAACCATTTCTAATTATGCACCCACACTGTTGCAACTTTGTTCATGGGCCACTACGAAATCCGACTGTTGGCACTTTTTGGCTATTCTATTGTTTTTCCACCGACTTCATTCAGAATGTGCCCAATGCGCGTGAATGACAACTGAGCGCTGATGTGGCACCGCCACCCGGCAACTCGACTCGACAAACATACTCTGTGTAATTCACATATATACACATACTATAATTAAATTAATAAACACAGCAGCGAATAATTTAAAACGCTGAAAAGGAAAGAGGTAAATAAATAAATGACGAATATGTAGTTTGAATGAAGAGCTGTCAGTAAATGCTATTCAGTCTTCGAGTGTACGAAAATTGAAACTACTTATAAATGTTGACGAATTTTGTATCACAATGAAGTCAAAAAATATACCCCAATAAATGAATATAGGAAGAATTTAGTCAACAACAAAGAAATCTTCAATTAATCAGTATTTTGTATAATTGTGAAGCCTTCACATAAAAAAACTTCCCGTCTGGCAATAGAAAATTATGTCTCACGTCTTTTATGCTTAAAAAGTCTATATAGAAAAGAAAAAAAACGATGCCTTAATATCTAATAAACGCCAAGATACCGATTAGAAGTTATAAAAAAATGTAAAAATTGAAAATTTCCCAACAAGAAGTTAGCACAGAAATTATGAAGTTTCTAAAAGCCAATTTACTTTGGAAGATGAAAAACAGTAAATTAAATCTTTGGTCGGTGGAGGACCAGCCCTGCAAGGTATTTGTGTGGTCAGTGATTCGAAGTTTGGAAGAAAAAACCGAAATGCAAAACGCATTTCAAATATAATTGTAAAAGCATTGTTCTAAAGCATTTAACTAGAATTATCCTACTTGTTTACTGATTTTGTTAAGATCCTATTGTACTCAGTATTCTTTTAGAAATGAATATGGTTATCGGATAAAATTTATCGATGAAGAAGAAGAACGAGCTCTAAAATTGAGCTAGAATCGTGATGTATGTATGTATGTCCCCACATTTTCCGATGTATACAGGGTGTGCCAGTGTTGAAAACCTAAGTTCAAGAAATTGTACAGAACCAAATTAAATAAAAATATCTCATACTTGAAAATCGGTTGTTTATTTTCAAATATATTCAATGTTTACATACCGACATAAAAGATAATATAATATATAATATTGAATATTATTTGACATGTATCTGCTTCGCAGTTGTATTGAATTTATATCCATCATTTGCTCAAAGCTTTATATGTGATTGGCGTGCTTCGCAGCCTGTTCTATAGTTTAACATGGTTAGTTGAAATCCGCATTGACTATAGCAACAGATCCATCTCTTATATGTAGTTCTATAATTCAATTAAATACATGTTTTCACACATGAGGACATGCTAATTCGATAAACAATTGTACACACGCATGTCTAATTTGAAAAAAAATGTAATTCAAGTGTTAACATTTCCGCCGACTGATAACACTGAAAGATATACACACTCCACGTATATAGTATGTCCATAGCTACTCATTATTGCATTTCCAAGTCGCTTATCAAATGCACTAATAAATGCTACAGCAACAACAACAATGACATCGTCTGCACCTAAAAGTGGCGTGCTTTACATAACTTTGAAAAATAAACAACAACTGAAGCTAAAAATAAATTATAACAAGCATTTGGAAAAAAAAAAACAAAAAATGTTTTCAAAACTAAACAACAGCTATCTATAAAAGTAATGGCAACAACAACCAGCCTCGTAGTGTTGAGCCAAAAGCCAACACGAATTAAATTTGAAGCACCAGTTGTGCCCCCGGCAGCTCAAAAGGCTTCAAGCATCGGCCGCGTGTGCAACAACGGACCGCAAAACCGAAACGCGTTGAGTTGAAGTTTTGTTAGTTTAACAGTTGCGCTTTGTTGCTGTTTCCTATTGTCGTAGTTGTTGCAGTTGTTGCAGTTGTTGTAGTGCAGTGTGTCAACAGAGAGTCGGACGAAAGCCCCCGACCAGCGTTCAATAAATCAAAGATTATTGTTTTGCATTGCAACGCGTGCAACTGCGACGGTTGCAATTGTCAACGGCTTTGTGGGTTGCAACACGAAAATACAAACAAAACGACCCACCGACCCAGCCAATTCCCCATTATGGCTTGTCGCAGCTCTTGCTGGGTCTATGCCCTCTCCATTACAAGCCTCGTGCTGGCCATCACTCTAATTGTGTTGGCCATCTGTAGCCAACGAGTGCCGAGCGAGTTGGGGAACGAAATGAACATCGAGAGAAAGTTGGATGCGGTCGCTTGGCAGCCGACTCCGATGGCCAGTGACATGGAAGATTTGGCTACCCGAGTGCTCCCGTTAATCGGCACAACAACAACAACAACAGCAACAACAACAACAACAGAAACAACATCAACTGCAGCAACACCAACACCAACGCCATCGGCCTCAATGTTCACAACAACAAGTGCAGAAATCTCTTCCGGGTCGTACGACACTGCGAGCAGAACATCCCAATTGTATTCTACCACAGAGGTTTGTTGCGATTTTTAATGGCATTTCAGGCAATTGTACAAGTATTCCCGATTTACTACCGGACTGCAGCTGTTGTTGCCTTTGTTTCCATTTCCAAAACCACTTTCTACACGCGCTTAATGCATTTTATTTCGCTTTTATAATTTTTGGAAACCGAGTGTAGCGTGAAAGCTCCCATACTATATACGAGTATTGTTGTTTTTGTATCAGTGATTATGTAATGCCCATAATAATCGGCATCATGTTATGTACGCGGCATGCCATTGTCTGCAATTTGCAAATGCAATTTATGAGATAGTTTATGCACATTTCCTTTTAGTAATTCAAAAGTTAGCAGGCCCTGAGAGTGGGACAAAGAAAGCTCTCACATATTAAATGCACCAATCGGGGTCTATTCAATTCTAAATGCACATCCAGCACAGGCTTAGAACAATGTCCAATTGTTGCGACTCTGATGTTAGCTGTTTACACAACAGTTTTTATTACCATGACTTTTCCAACCATTTCCCTCACAAATAGAACCTTATGGCGTGATGGGTGTAGACTAATGGTCTATCGCTTTGTCTGGTATATCTAATTCTCAAGAGCATTATCTTATTGAGGCTGGCATATATTTGATTTGGTGTAATATACACTAAGTACTATATATACGTATAGTATGTACATAGGAAATATTCCAGCCTATAATTTTGTATTCATCAAACGAGCCAAAGTTTGCAAATCATTTTCCATAACCTTATAAGGTCGGTGAGATAAGAAAGATCATGCGATGATAGTGACATAAAATGTGGAAAAACAACCATTAACGAGTTATTTATTAACGAGAAAAAACAGCCACATTCGGTTGTTGTTTCATTACAAAAATTAATTGATGTATTAACAGTTAGAAATAATGTGAGTCAACGTTCGAATTGTTTCCTCTTTCCAAACTTCAAGTTAAGGAAATAATTATAAGGAGAGTCTACATACCTTTTGCTCTTCGGTTTCTCACTATAAACAGGGTGTTGAAGATATGGAAAGTCGTTGAGAAAGATGGTCGACAGACCTACGGCGGACCTGCCTTACACAGATCTTTCTCTATTCAAAGTTGCTCTAATCTATATCTCGGATTTTTAACTCGCAAACAGCTTATAATTTTGCAGGGGTTTCAAGCAATGTTATGTTATTTAAGTATTAGAGTATAATATTTAAATACATTACTTCTTCTACGCTTTTAAGTAACATATGTAGACATTCGTATATGTACATACATACATATATTGTTTGAATACAAACAAACGACTTTTCCAATTTGCATTAACAGCAGCTATAGGATTGTTCACGATGGAGTATGTGTTGTAACCAACACACCAGGTTGAGATCGCTATATATAAAGTTTACACAGAATCGGCAGATCGCCCTTACGCCAGCTGTAGGATTCTGAAAAAAAAAACTTTAGCAGGATGGCATTTGAACTGATAAATTATTTTTCCTAGAAAAAGGCAGGCGCCAAAAGGCAAATTTTCTGTGAGGAAGATAGGGAGATTGTAGGTGACTTTAAAATATCTGTCAGTATTCATGCTGCTGATTGTTAGTTCAGATTGGAAGATGGCGATGATGATTGACGATATGCAAGAGAAATTAAATTTTCTTCATTGATGAATAAGGTATCCCATATCTGACCATGTCGGTTGTGATGCTTTTGTGATGAGACTATTTTTTTCGTGCCGCGCATTTATGTACATGTGCCGAACGGAATATACCCTTTGCAAGTGTAACATATTGGCCAAATTTGTTTTGAAAGAAATATGCTTAAGCCGGTAATTGAAAACTGCTTAACCAATCTCTAGACACCGCTCTCCCTTTTAAGACTATTTTCAATGAATGCGAACATGTACTTTTACTTAATTATTAACATTAAATGCTATGATCAGTTTCAATTAAATTGAACAATGACCCACTTATTGAGCCACAAATCGGTGCAATTTAATTTGTTTCACATCGCAAAAAGCAACAACACACTAAACAGTTATACGCATAACAACAACATGCCAAACATGCCACATTTCGAATCAAACTCAAAGCCAAATTGAATCTTTTATAAGTCGGCTACACCCACATTAGCATAATTCGATACAAATGGCCGAGGAGACCCCCACGTAGGGGGCAAAAATAATAACAGCAACACCAACAGAAACAAAATTAGCATAAAAACGCATAAAACGTGAACTTGAAATTCGGCTGATTACTTATTTGGGGCTCAAATGGCGCCGCTGCCTGCGGCTAACAATAAGAGCATCGCAGCAACAGCAACAACAAGAGCAACAACAACAACAACAGCAACGACGCATGTTGTTCGTCTAACTGTGTCATGATTCACACACAACTACAAGATACATTTCAGTTACTTAGCGGCGCGATATACCCGTACGGCTAATGCGACAGCGAGCAGACAAACTGACAGATAACGAGACAGACAGACAGACAGACAGGCGGACAGACAGACAGACGGGCAGACGGATGAATGGATGAACGGACAGTCAGTCGCACGTGACTGCGGCCATAATTGTTGCCAGCGTCATTGTTTTCGTTGCCGCTGCTGTTGTTGTAATTGCCAATTGCCAGCTGCCAGTTGCCAGTTGCCGCTTGCCTCTAACGCTTTCGGCCCATTTGAGTTATGCAAATGGCATTTCAATTAAATGAAATTCACTTGCTGGGCCTGGGCCTGGGACTGGGCCTGGGTTGTAACCTTCGGCTTCAGCGCTCAGAGCTCGACATTAACATCATTAAAATATGTCACTACTGCTTGTAAGCTCGGCAACTACAAATTGTGACAATTAGTGTAAAAACAACAACAACGCGGGCCAGGTCCAGTGAACTTGAAGCCACGTTTGCACAAGGCGCATTGCATTCCATGTTTATGCTTCCAAATGGCCCGTAATTCAATTAAAATTTTTGCCTTTGCTTTATGTGCAACGAACTGCCATCGTGAGGGCCTTGAATCGAAGAGGCATTACTTACAATACGCATGCAAATATAGTACGAGGCTTCAATATTTCAGAGTGCGAACAGCAATAATTGACGCCTAACCTAAATGCTAAATGCTTTAAGCGTAGGAAAGCAATCTATTAGTCGATATTTCAAAATAAACAATTTTTCCAATAAAAATACTAAGTAAGTTTGGAAAATATTTTCCAGTTATATATGCCTACTTTTTATAAAGTGTTCTCTGCCCGGAAAATTATGAAAATGTTTTTTAATACATATCAAAAAGGCTTTATAGTGCAGAAGCATCCACTTGGTATGTATTGGCCCTAATTTTAAGCGTAGGAAAGCAATCTATTAGCCGATATTTCAAAATACACCATTCTTCCAATAATAATACTAAGTAAGTTTGGAAAATAGTTTCGACTAATATATGCCTACTTTTTATAAAGTATTCTCTGCCCGGAAAATTGTGAAAATATCAAAAAGGCTTTGTAATGCAGAAATTAATTTCTTCGAACTACGTTAACCAACGCAATTCAAACAAATTTGTGCTAAGCATCCACTTGGTATGTATTGGCCCTAATGCTGAAGTGATTAATACAATTCTTTAATTAATTAAATTACATTAACTAAATCAAATAGACAGCTCTTTGGCTACCGAGCGATAGTTCACGCTTTTAATACAGCGTCGTAACATTCTATATTGTATAATTTATATAAGAGCGATATACCTTGCATGTTGGGTTTTCTTTGAAATGACATTCCAGAAGATTGCTTTTCAGGAGAATATGTTTATGTAACTAATAACAAATACATGACAAAAACATGTTTTTGTGCTACAAAAAACCATAATTTAAACGAACAACTAACATAGCATCAAGAAAGGTGGAAAGTATCAATCGGTTATTAAGACACTTTTCAACAGGTCCAAGCGAAGGCAGATTAATTCTTTTTAACGGAAATTTACTACAATCAGAAAAGCAATTGAGGATCCTTTACCCGCGCATAGGATTTACAGACTTAATTCCATGAACACCCCTTTCAGTGTCTTTGTTAACATTGTGGCTCTTTAGATGCATTTAATGACAATTCAACAGATAGATAATTGTGAGTTAAAAAAACACTAATGTTTTAATCAAAAAGTAAGTCTACATTTGAGAATGGGAATACAAGTATTATATTTCAATTCATTGTCCAATCGCTTACTATTCATAATGATATTCATAATTTGAATAGACACACATTTACAATAACAGTTCTTAAAATCTCGAACTGAAGTTAATAATTCGCATTAACCCGAATTAACCTGAAACAACCGTTTTAATTGCAGGAGACAACGGCATGGAAAACGCTGACTTCGCATCCGAATTCTTTGGTGCAATTACTGCCATCGCGTGCCATGCGAGTGGTGCAAGAAGTGGTTCGCTCGCTACGGGTAAGAATAAGAAGAAGAAGCAGAAGCAGAATAGTAACGCCTACCGAAAATTCTTGATACATACGAGCAGCGAATGCAATTAGGTGTAACGACCTTGGCTCACAAAATACCCAAAAATACATACAAGTATGTATGTATGTATGTACGTGCCAAGTTGCTTAATCAATTTCAACTTGAACGTCAGAGCTGGCTGCTGTTATTCGCAAAAGTCGAGTTCCAATAGTCAAGTTTCTGGCCAGCTTAATGGCTGGCTTGTTGGCCATGTAAGCACTCAGCTTGGTAGTTCGGGCCACCAACGCCAACAAGTGCTGGCCACCGCCTGATCACATGCAGCTGGCCAAAATCTGCTGTTTGCCGAATGCTTTGTTAGATGAGGTCAAGTCTAAGCCAGTATTGGTGTGCACAGCATTTGGCAAATCGCTTCAATAACAAAGAAAGAGCAGAGCCAGCTACGCAGCCAGGCAGACAGGCAGACAGGCAGCCAATTTGGCAGCTGTTTGTCAAAAGCAAACACTGAAAACTTTGCATAGTGCCGAGTAATGAATGCTGCTTGCTTTCGCGACAGCCGATGCCGAAAACCTGTGACTCGGAATTTCAAAGTAACTTGCAGATACTCGCAGTTGACTGAACCAGTCAGGTATTTAGAGTTCGCCAATTAGATTGTTAAATATTCAAATACGGCTTGAAGTCACAGTTTTTCAAAAGAAAACAATTCCTAATACAATCAATACAAGTATAGATTCAACTGGAAATAATAAAAAGGTATGAGAAATAAACAAAACAAATCAAAAGAAAAACTATAAGCTTACCAAAACATCATTCTGATCAAAGCTAATGATAGAGTGTTCGCAACTAACGAGACTAAATCACGCTGCGATTTATCTGTGAATTGACGCACAGCACTATTCACTGAGCACTGTGCAGCACAGTGGGTGCCATTTGAATGCAATTAAGTGAGGCGAGAAGTGGCAAACAGGCTCTTAGCATGCTCGCACACGGTTGCGCAATATTTGCACCATGGAACACTTTCATGAGCTCCGTCCAAGATTAACGCTAAGTTCTTGGCGGTTGCGCAAGCACCACTCTTATCGCTCACGTATCTTGCAGATGCATGACGGACTTGTTGCCAGCCATTTGGCCGAAGAACCGCTTTAAACTTGCCACTTGAAATTTAAATTCAGATTTGAAATCAAAATTGATTTTTGTGGCTTTTTCACACGAACTGAATGGACAAAATACCATTGCCATGCCACTTGCCATGCAGAATGAATAGAAACTTTATTTTTTTCATTCCGACAGAAGGAACGCGAGATTGTTGTGACCACAACGGCGGGCAAGATACGTGGCCGCTATCAGAAGTATCGATCGGGCGAACGCGGGGGCTACTACAGCTTCAAGGGCATACGCTATGGTGCAGCGCCAGTGGGTGCCAAAAGGTCAGTGGGTCGCATAGATTGTCTATAGACAAGCCACAAATGTTTGCCTTCACCTTTGCAGATTCCGCGCCGCTGAACCGGAGAGGCCATGGACAGGTGTGCGCGATGCTTCGCGTGAGGGGCAGAGTTGTCCACACAAGAACATGATATTGGACACCTTTAAGGGCGATGAGGACTGCTTGTTCCTCAATGTATTCACAACACGCATGCCTAAGGACGATGAGTGAGTCCAGGCGAGATTAATTTGAATTACATTCCTGACAATATGTCCTTCATTTGCAGTTCCCAACCCAAGCTACCTGTGATGGTTTGGCTGCATGGTGGTGGCTTCTCCTTCGGCTCGGGCAACTCTTTTCTATACGGTCCCGATTATTTGGTTGCGGAAGACATTGTGCTCGTCACACTGAACTACAGACTTGGCCCACTTGGCTTCTTGACTGCCGGACCAGATGCGCCTGGCAATCAGGGCTTGAAGGATCAGGTGCTCGCTTTGAAGTGGGTGCACAATAATATTGGCGCCTTCGGCGGAGATCCGCAGCAGGTGACCATCTTCGGTGAATCTGCGGGCGCCTCCTCGGTTCAGCTACTACTGCTCTCTCCACAAGCCAAGGGTCTCTTTCATCGCGCCATCTCACAGAGCGGCTCGGCGCTCAATCCCTGGTCCATGGGCGCCAGTTCGGGGGAGCGAGCAGCTCGCTTGGCTGCCAACCTGGGCTATGTCGGCACCAACAATACTGAGGATATTCTGGACTTTCTGAGACGTGTGCCAGCCATGAAGTTAGTGGAAGCAGCGCCTACTACCTTGACGGCAGAGGATCAACGTAACAATGTCGGACTGCCGTTTGTGCCGGTCGTTGAGGGCTACTGGAACAAGGAGTCGCGGCTGGAGGAGGAGTTCTATGAGCCACCATTCCTCACCGAGCACCCCAGCGATATGTACAATGAGCACAATTTCAACAGTGAGGTGCCCTACATGACTGGCTACAACACGCACGAGGCCATGTTGTTCATAAGAAGTACTCTATTGCGAGATTATCATTTTTGAAATCCAATAACGCTTGCCAAATTGTTTGCAGGACTACGCAAGAACCCGCAGCTGCTGAGCATCATTGAAAATGATTTTGGCCGCTTAGTGCCTCACGATCTCAATGTGACGCATGTACATGATCGTGTCACGCGTGAGATTCGCTCATTCTACTTGGGATCCAAGCACGTGGGCCTCGAGTCTGTCGATGAGATGATAGCGGTAAGGGATGCCTTGGTTTTCTCTGGAATATTTTTGTAGGATATATTGTTTCTCTCTCTGTAGCTGCTCACCGATCTGATGTTCCTTCAAGGGATTCGTCGGACTGCTCGCAATCACGCCAAGTACGGAAATGCGCCGGTCTATATGTATCGCTTCTCGTTTGATGGCGCCTTGGGCCTTTATAAACGCATGTTGGGTATTCCCCGGCCAGGCGTTTGTCATGGCGATGAAATGGGCTATCTTTTCAAATTCGGCTTCTTCAACTTGAGCCTGGATCCCAAATCCATGGAGGTGCAGGTCAAAAATCGCATGGTCCGCATGTGGACGAATTTCGCCAAATATGGGTAGGTTTCCAGTGAAACTTCGGGGTTCTCTCTCCCTCACTTCTCATTTTCCTTTTTCTCTTGCAGCACACCCACTCCGAATGTCGAGGATCCCATGTTATCAACCAAATGGGCGCCCATCGATTCAACAAATGTGATGAACAGTCTGAATTATTTAGACATTTCATCTTCGCTGGATATGAAAACAAACCCGGAACCGGAACGCCAACGTTTCTGGGACGAAATGTACCAGCACTACAATGGTGCGGCTATGTAGAGTCCTTAGCACTGTCTCCCACACGCACACATACATATATTCACACCTGCACATAGCACACACATATACACACACACATATGCATACATACATATTTACTTGATTCGTAACCATTGCCATTTTGCGAAAGAGAGCGCAAAACATATTTAAAGCAATTTCATTGTACAATTTACGTAGTTTGTAGTTATATATGTATATTTAGTAGCTATGCTTAGTATATAGTTAGTAAGTGTTGCAGCATTTATACAATACATATTCACACAATCAGAAACAAACTAAACGTACACAAACACAACCACACTAAACACACACACACACACACACACACAGAGAGACACATATACTTATTTTATTTAAGTATTGTAATTATTAGGATACCCCAAAGCCAATATCTTTTCCTTATACGCAATATCAGGTGTAAATAGTCTTAACGAAATGTCAATTTTTACACGTGCTCTGGATAATTCGGTAGCTGTCGAAAGTATCCAGCGCCGTCTTCTCTAATATAAAATATAATAATAAAGTATATTTGTTATTAACTATTAGTTTTATTTGGTTTATTCTGAGCGCAATACAATTCAATACATTATATTTTATAAAATATCAACGGAAAATCACTCAGTCGTAACTAAAGCTGGTTGAACAATTTCTGAAAAAAATCAGATTTTACAACTCTATATAAAAACAGCATTTATTGGGAAACAAAAACTTTTAGGAAAATTAGTTGATTCCACAAATTTAGTTGATTGTTTTAAAACAATCATATTGTGTTGTTTTATTTCAATTTGAAGGTGGAAGGTGATCGAATACGTCCTGTCCGTTCAACAAGCTGCTCATCACGATTAAAATCGGCGTTAATATCGTGCTCTAGAAGCTAACAGCTCGGAACCCAATGCAAAGCATATAAATACAACTGATTAATTTGATCAGTATCTGTTTATTTAGTTACAACGTAAGATTAGTAAACGGAACAGTCATTTGTTTATATCGATGCATATTGCAAACAACATTTTGACAGATGAGATAAAAACGTTCAACATCTGTTAGAGACTTACTTTATAACAAAAGTATTCAAATTTGAGATCTTGGATTTATTAAGCACGCCGTTTGCAATATCATTATGCCATCACATAAAAAGTTTACAATTAGATTTAAAATTATTGTTGGCGCCAGTAAGACCAAACAATTTGTTAAATGAAAATATTCATTGCATACTTTTTGATGCAAAACTGAAATAGGCACTAACTAACCATACCACATGCTTTTGCCAGCCGTGGTGTACTTCTTCAGTGTGGTGAGTTTATTTGTAAGGCAACCATCGTTGAGTTTAAAGACGTTTTTAATTTGTGTGTACATTACATATCACTCACATATGTACATACATAAATGGTTTAATATGTCGATTTTTCAAAAAATGTTAAAAGTTTTAAACATTTTTGCATGTTTTACATTCATGATTAATTTATTTCTCACTTAGCTTGCATCCATCAAATAGATTTACTTAATTATTACATAAATCAGCCTAATATTTTGTACATAATATTTTCATCACTTTAATATGAAGCACATAATGTTAATGTAGGGATTAAACCTTAATATTATGTTAATTGTTTAAGAAAATCACAGCTGAGCTCATTTAAAAATAGCCTCCATTCGCCACTTCTCGATCACATTTAAAACAAATTAACACCCACATGAGCAAACACTAAGTAGCCACTGATTGCCTACAAATTTGCACTTGTTGTGAGGCACACACTCGCCCTCACATGGCAGCAAGGGGCACCCACGTGCTTCGCTACTTGTGCACGCCATTGTACGGGGGGTGGGGAGCAGCTGCGATTGTTTCTGGGGTCGCACACTGTGCCCGCTGTGCCATCAAGCAGATTATTCAATTATCACAGTGGTGGCAGCAGCATTATCATCACCATCATCATCAGCATCATCATGATCAAAATCGAGCCGCCACTCTGAATTTAGTTTGTCATAAATTAAGTTGTTATCATTGTGACCCGTTCTGCGTCGCTAGCTTAACCCTTGCCCCTCAGCACTATGTGGGCAGATGTGTTGACAGCTCATGACGGAAGAGCATTGACATCCAGTGGCATTAGCTGCCGCATGGAAACCAATGGCGAACAACAAATAATACTTTTTTAAAAAGCCAGAACAATGTGCATTTGTATAATACTCGTGCATAGGGATAGTGTGAGACCGATATGTCGGATCTAATATCTTTGTGGATTAAGCAAACCAGAATAAGGTGTGATATGGATGTTTTTAAGCCCACGGTGTATACCTATGATTGTTTTTAAAATCCACAGCTATTACAAAAATAGCCTTACATGTAAATAAAGATTTCATATCTCTTATTAAGTAAAAATAATTTTCAGGCATTTTAGACATTTTATAGGCTTTATGAAGTAAAGAGCGTAAGCGTTCAACATATTTAAAGACTATTTTAGTGTTATTCATTTATCATTAAAATGTTCAGTAATTTGTAGTCTAGAAAATGAAGTCAATATTGTAATCAACAAAAATTATAAGGACTCGAGCAGACGAAAACAAAAATATAATTTGGAATTCTTACGAATTTGACAGAAAAATAGGGTTTTTTGTTTGATTCATTCAATAATCGGAGCAGGGAAGTGAACGTCATTGATGGAATTATGGAGATCAAGGGTCAAGGAAAGGCGGCCAACAAAATATTGCCTATGTTCTATAGGCTTCATCAAAAGGATGCGTGTGTGTTTCCACTTCCATTGATCCATTTTTTGGCGGTGTCTGGCGCATTTATGGCATCGATGGCATGCCCATAAATCAATTCAATGAGTTAAGCGAGGGCGATATCGTCGTCTGTTGCTGTCAGTAAGAGCCATTCACAGATGTGGGCTACGTTTTCGGAAAGAATCAGATACACCTTCTGGGCTCCATGTTGCGATGTGAAGATGGCAGTGGATCATGTGTTAGAAATCGAGAGCCGACAGTTAGTTTTGGATCTGGTGTGCCAGATATAGCCCTAAATATGATGCCATATTTGATGGTTAAAGACAGGATCTTCAGCAGTCCCAATATCGCCATCTTTAAAGGGCACAGCCCAGAAAAATGTAGCTATGCTATTAAGATTTTAGATAGACGGGTTCTACATCTCCACAAAAATGAAAAGTGCAAGGAAATCGAGATTCTGCGCAAGCTACAGAATACAGTACAGCTTTGTGTTAGGCTTTCTATATTTTAAGTTGAGTTTAAACTGTTATATTAAGTTATATCATCATATAATCGACAGAATTATTGTTGATTTACTAAATAAAATAAAAAAAATAAGATAAAACCATATAGACCGTCGAGCTTAGAAAGAAGGTAGTACAGCTGACCAACGCGTTGCTCGTGAAGACCCCAGAATATCTCAGATACGCAACCATCCGTTCTTATCAAAGTAGAAGTAACTCTATGATACCAACTAGTTGTTGTTGTTTCGTTTCATACATTATTTAAATTTGTAAGTGTACTCCCTGGTCAAAAAGTATATTTTTGATTTATGGCGCTACCAAAACGTTTGTCAAATGCACAGAACGAAAGTTTATGAAGCATAACTAGAAATACTGCTTTTGTTGTTGATTGTGTTGGGCGTTTGTCGGCATTGCTCTCCTCTCTGATTTATGTTTCTCAAAAACTGCAAATTAACCAGCACAATTAATTTTATTTGTACAAAACAACAAAGATGAGTGAATAATCATAATTAAAATAACAATTTCAACAATCGTAGCTATGCCTTGTGGTCATGCGAAAGCTAAGAAGCAGTGCAGGACGTGGAAGTATCAAGGCTGAACTATCGAATTGGATAAACGGCATTTCGAATTCAATGTTTCATAAATGGCTATTATTTTGGCGCTTCATGTTAGTGTGGAGCTTTCTTTTTAAAGTACACAGCTGGTAGATATTTTGTGATCTATAACAAACATCATCGGCTGCTACTCAATCACATGCCTATCGCTACTCTATTGACACGTTTATACACTTGCATCTCCGTCCCACACTTAAGTGGCACACGCAAACATTACGTATACGCCGCCTTGGACCCACATTGAGGCTCAAGGCCGTCGTTGTAAGTACTTCTTTCATTTCTTTTGTGTGCACAATAAAATCAAATATAGATAAGCAGCTGTGCTTATCTCACGTATCTTGTTCCTCATCTTCAATTTAAGAATTATTTCAATTGAACTTTTCTCATATCAAAACGAGACACTTTTGCGAGTATCTCTGTCTCTGTGTGTGTGTGTGTGTCTGTCTGTCTGTCTGTTTGTGCGAGCGACTGTGACGATTTACGAATGCCTGTGTGTGTGTGAGTAAGTGTGAGAGCATCAATCAGTTGCTCGACACAACTGTGTGGAAATTGTCGCCATTTCCATGAGTTGGTGTGTGTGTGGCTCGGCTCGGCTCATTTACAGCACCGCTTTTTGTTCACAACTTTTGTTTAGTTTGATATTTTTCTTGTTGTCAGTCGGCGGTCATTTAATCCGATGGGCTGACTTGTGGACTGACTGCTCGTCGGTGTCGGTCTCGGTCTCGGTGTCATTGCCTATATCTCATTCGGATCTGTTCCGTGCTCTGAACCACGCTTATTTTTCAGCTGTACTGCGTTCGCACAACAACGACTTTGTCGCCCAAATCGAATATATTACAAAAGTATTTAAAAGTGCTAAAGTCTTTTAAGATGTGCTAAAAAGTTTTGCATATCAAAAGCCAGAGAGGGTGCAAATTAATTGAAATTTGCTTTTGCTCTAAAAAAGGTGCTAAAAATATTCCCAACGAGCTGTGATTTACTTAAATGGTGCGTTTCATTAATACTATATTGTCAAACTGGTCCTAGAATCGTTGAGTGTATTAAATAGTTATTAACAAAATATTTGATTCAGTGATGGGGCTTGTAAATAAAACTACAAAGCAAATGCGAGCAAGCTATAGAGTTATAAATGGTCTCAAAAAAAGTGAGGAACCGGAGTATAAGTTTCCCTAAACAATTACTATTATGGGGATAAATATAAGCAGTTTCGGGAAGCTTTACATAAAATTAAATGCGACATCAAAACCAATACATATTCACAACCACTCAGAAGTCTAACTGTCATCTAGAATACGAAACTTATGCATATTATTGTATACTTTATGTAACAGCTTCTTACCCGTTTTAACTATAATGCACACCTTTAATCATTTTTTAAGCAAATGAGTTGTTTTGTTTTATGTTGTAAAACTACAAAGCCCATAATCACAGTGCGCTTACGTGATTCGGCTTACTTAGCGTTCTGACACCAATTTTTTCACATTCCTGTAACGACTTGACTTAGATCATTTAAACTTATAAAATGCTTCAGTTGAGCAAACTCGACATTGAAATACCCTGAAGAAGAAGAGCGAACTCAATCTTGCATTTTGTGGGCGTAATAGTGGAGTGAAATTGTTTCGGAATTGACCGATTTGAATGAAATTTAAAACAAAAGTGGAGAATTCTATACCATTCTGGAAAATAATAATTGTATAATTAAATACATAAATATGTTCCATTTTGATAAAAACTGTGAGTCATACGTTACACATGTGATTCAATAAAAATCTTTGGTTAACGGATCTTCAAATAAATCAAATAAATTAATTGATAAAGCATCAGGTGATCTTATAGGATACCTGATAAAAAGAACAAACATGAAAAATTAAAAACACAGCACATTTATTTAGAAAGGAAAATTAAATTCAGGGCAATTTAAAATATGCGGAAAACATCAGCATGGGATAAGAGATTAATAAGCCATTTAATAAGTGCGCCTTGCGTTCTACCACCACGTTTTTCTAAATTATACCGGAAAATTGGGTCAACAAGGGTTAATAAAAAATGCCAACTGCCCTTAAATCTCTTATCAATATAATAAATATGGACGTACAAATCGTGAAAATACAAAATTGTTGATTAAACACAATTAACAATTATAGTTATAGCTTTACAAAAAATCGTATTCAAGGCAAGTGGAGCAGCAGGTGATAGCCACATCAAATATTTACTTTCATCGTATGGAGGGGATGATAGCAGACAAGTATGACGTGCTTTAGTCGTAAAAATAATTAAATAAATTTTAAATATAGTATATATATATATAGAAACTGGTACGTAACAGTGCAAGGGCAGGAAGACACGGCGAAAAACTGATAAACATTTTATTACATATATATACTATTCGTAGAGGTGTTGACGGCTTTTGCGCGTGCTCACCTACTCAGTGATTTGTTTACAAAAATCTGGCAGATACGATAAATAAAATCAAATTCTACTGCTGCCCTCTCACAGCAATGTCACTTTTCACACTTTAGCGAACGTACAAAGACGTTGCCTGCCTGCCAGCCAACTAGCCAGCCAACAAGCCAGCCTGCACTTATCACAAGTTTTTGTTTACACTTGAGCAATGCACGAGTACTTGAGCAAATTAAACTTGATTCGAAAGCCGAGTAGAGCTGCCTGGCTACTTGGCTATGACTGACTGACTAGTGACTGATTTAATAATAACACACACACACTCTTCAAATGTTGCCTGCAGATGCGATTCAATTTCTCCAATCACTCAACTTCGGAGGCGACGTCGGCCGGTGAGAAGTCCACACAGCCGCTGACGGCCCACAAACGACCGCTGACCATCGAAGCGGATCCAGACTCGCTGGACAGTGTCATCAGTAATCCGCAATCGTTTCCCATAACAATTGTGCCGAATCGACCCGCCAGTTTCTATGGATTGGCAGCAAATGGCAAACCCTTCAAAACTCAGCCGAGCTGCAGGTAAGCAAGAAAACACGGTGGGGAACAGTAGTTCGCGTATATTTTGGCATGCATCTAATTGGGAATGTCAATAGCCGTTTATAACTTAACGGCAGCATAATTGTTAGTATAAACATAAACTGTTTTGCTGCTGAAAAACAAGCCTCGACACTTCAGTTGAGTGCAGTACGCGCGCGCGTTTGGTCCAATCGCCCAATTAGCTTAAAGTTAGCCATGCACGCGCCTCTGAACGATGTGCAGGTGTTGCGAGATCCTGCAGATGCCGACGCGAATGGCGGAAGCAGCAAGGAAGAAGCCTTTTCGCATATGAGGGAGTGGAAGCGACAGTATATGCGAGGCATCTCAACGACTACCTCTCAGGCGGGCGTCTACTATGAGGCGCTGAAAGGATCTAGCCATTCGCTGGCCAAGGGGTGCGTGTGCATAAAATCAAGGAATTATACATATAATTCGAGATTTTGAAAATGAACTTCTTCAGACTTCAGTTTCAATTTCGAAAAGGTTATATAGTTAGTTGATTAAATATTACATTTAATATAAAGAAACATCATTTTGTTTGGTGATGCTATCTTAAGTGAAGACATTACATTTTAGAAAGAATTATATACATTCAGTATAGGACAAATAAACAAAAGAAAATTTAGTTAATAAAACTATTTAAAATCATAAGAAATATTATATTTAGAGTTCTTAAATTTTTCGTTCATTTTTCTAAGGCTCTAGCTTAAACAGCTGAACATTTTTCCAATTTTGAATGAAAGGAGAAGAATTCTATGAGAAAGAGACTCATTGATTAGAACTCTTCTCATTTAGCTCCCGAATAAATAGTATCATTTAAAACTAGTAGAGTTTTTTTTTAAACTATAAAAAATATTTGCAATTTCCTAATTTTGTCCAAAGTATAGTATATAATATTTCCTTAAAACGTTACAGTTCTTTTAAATATAAGAATGTTTTCTAAAATATATAAATATTTTTCCCAATAACAGGCATTCTTTCTGAATTGAACAAAAAACAATGTACTATAGCTGAATAAACTTCTAAGAAAAACTGTAAGATGTAAGAAAGTTAAAAATTTGTAATAAGTAAATCAAAAGCATTTCTTGCTGCTTTTTTACTAGACATAATATTCTAAATCATTCGATTATTCAGATTTAAAGAATGAGTTAAGAAGAGTTAGAAAATTAAGAATTCTTCTCCGATTGGCGCTGAATAGGTTTGGGAAATTTTTCAATCCCCTACCCTGTTTCATATTATCCATCAATTCATATATATGGCATGCTTATTATTGGATTATTTGTCTTTATTATAACTTGTTTTTTAGAATAATTATCCGATAAGTTGTGTCTGACTATCTGACTGAATCGAACGAGTTATTGTCATGTAACACTATTGCATTTGCGTATTAAGTGGTTGTTGGCTCGTGTCTCATTTACGCGCTTAGCATAATTAGCTCGTCAAGAGCGTTTGGCATTCAACTTGAACTTGTCGGCTGGCGATCCAACGAGTCGCGCAATCCAACGGCCTGCCCTACAAGTCAGCCGTACACGCGTTGTATCTTACAGATACACACATGTCCGCATCTGCGCTTACACGTCGCATTGTTTTCTTTCGCCTATTTGGTTTTGTTTTAAATACTTCGTGCCCAGTCGCTGTTTGCGGTTGTAATTTATACTGCAGCCGACGTCGGCGGAGAAGTCGCCTACGCAGCAGTTCCCAGTCGCCGCTTGGTGCATTTTGCACGAGTTGCGGGCACGGGCTTTATCTGAGCGCCGCAAAAAGTATCTCGAGTGCTTGTGTAAGCGGTAGCGTTTACAGTCATTAGCCGCTTCATTCAGAATTTTGTCTGCTGGGCACATAAATCAATTGTCACAACGAGACTGTAATTGTAATTGTGCGGTGTTTGCATTTCCCAAACAGTCGGCTGCAATGCAAATTTTCCAGCTGCGCTTCTAATGGAAATCACTACCACATTTAGTCAATCAAGGGTCGGCCAATATTCCCATAGGTGTATTTTTCATAACACTTCCCCAGCCCGGTCGCTTGTTGTCAACGCTCTGCCGACCAGTTGTTCAGCTCTTGCGACTGGATGGCGGTCGCTCTTTTAATGATTTAATTAAACAATTAAGCATCTCATGCGTGCCACAAACACTGAATGAATCATTTTTATAGCGCCGCCACTTTATCTTTATTTGTAGGGCATTTAATTTTCAATTTGATTAACGTCTGTTTCTAGAAGCGGCACAATGTCAATTAATTCACACTCCGCTCTTGATCCGAATATAGGGGGCTCCGATGTCAATTGGTTTACGGTTACAACAAATTGCAGCTGCAAGGCATTGCAGAGATGCGCGAGTGGTTGTTTTAAATGGGTGACAAGATTGTTTGAATCATGTTCCAGCAATCAGAAATAATTGCAATTAATTTGAACAGATTTAGCTTAGAAATATAAGTGGGAAAGGAATTAGTGATGCACTAATTAACACTTTTTGACAGTCTTTTATGATATATAGTACTAACTAACAATTAAAATATATGCATTTGTTGAAATCATTCTTCGGCCTATTTGATTTTGTCCATTATAAACAATACTCGTTTTTAGTACTACCCGTGAAAGGAAATATAATAAATAATCTTCAGCATCAAACTCAAGAACATTAACGATAAAGGTGTACATTCCGCAACTTTAAAAATATCCAATCACTAAGTAAGGGATTCAGAATGGATTGCTTGAATTCTTATCAGGAATATAATAAGTTTGCTTTTTTATACTTTAACTCACAAATTTCCTTTGGTACTGTCCAAATGATAGCGATTACTTTTTCAATTTTCATTTCCGTTTTTTCTGAGCGATGCTTAGTTTTTAGTTGCACGCCTGCGCTCAGAAAATGCATAATGTAAGGAAGCAATATATTTCTTAAGGACGATTGATTGAGGTTAATGTCATTGCAAAACGCCATATTTCACACGTGTGATCCAAAGAGTTGGTTAAACTTCTCTTTAGGGAGTTATTATTTTCTTCAAAAATTTAATTTTCATCTAACTGGTAGACAGAGTTTGAAAGCCACTAATTAATTCACTAGGCGTATACGCAATACATCAATTTCGGGGTGTGTGAGACTCGTCGTCAGTTTACATCATTGTTATGCACTAAGCGATTTCTCTTGTTTTTCTTGTTGCTCGTCGCGCTGGGGTTGACATTGGAAAAGTGCAATGTTAATTAGCTGCAATTTACGGCATTTGCTCGTGCCATTCCAAACCCCAACACTCAATTTAGACAATTAGAGAGGCGACGAAAGCAAATATCATACTCATATGTCTAGTCAGCTAATTCAATATGACACTTGCACACAAATGGCAATGAAGCGCTTAAGATATATAGATTAGAAGATAGAACGCTATACGCTTATCTTAACAATAGTATGGAAGTATTATTGATAATGACTGTGGCTTTCTAATGACTGGTACAGAGGATGGCCGATTTCTTACCTTTTACCATTTAAAATTAAAGAAAAAAGTTAAGTTTCATTTTGTCTTGGGTGTAGCTTTGGCACGAACTCAAAAACCGACCCTTTTGTACGACCAGGAAAGGGAATTATTTGTTCCATTCTAATGAAATGTTAACCCCAATAAAATTTGAATAGTCCCTGCAAATCGGAAGGCTAAACCTAATTCAGTCAAGGCTTCTACATTGGGTTGTCACAATGCTGTATAAAATTTATAGCATACTTTCAGGCTTACAGTTAAATGCAGCTTCTCTCTCACTCGCTCTCACACAGATCGCGCAACTTTCGACCGGGCAGCATGCGAAGGGTGCGCAGGCGCGCTGTCTTCAAGAATGGCGACTGCAATGTGGTGCAGAAGAATCTGCAGAGACGTCGCGTTCGCTTCCTGCAGGACATGTACACGACGATGGTGGACTGGCAATGGCGCTGGACCCTGCTCGCCTTTGCGCTGAGCTTTATACTCTCGTGGCTGTTCTTTGCACTGCTCTGGTGGCTTATCATGTACACACACGGCGATCTGGAGGAGCTGCATATGCCCGATAACCAAGGTCAGTAGTCCGTCTTAGTATTGTGGCTGTAACTAACTGGGCATCTCTTTAGAGGAGTCTGGCTGGTCACCGTGTGTCTCGGCCATTGATGGCTTCACCTCCTGCTTCCTCTTCTCCATCGAGACACAACATACGATTGGCTATGGTGTGCGTACCACATCGCCCGAGTGTCCTGAAGCTATTTTCATGATGTGCTTCCAGTCCATCTACGGCGTGATGTCTTCGGCCTTCATGGCTGGCATTGTGTTCGCGAAGATGACGCGTGCAAAGCAACGGGCCCAGACACTACTCTTCTCCAAGCACGCGGTCATTTGTCAGCGGGACGGTTCTCTGTCTCTGATGTTCCGTGTGGGCGATATGCGTAAGTCGCATATCATTGGAGCGGGAGTGCGGGCTCAGCTTATACGTACGCGTAGCACCAAGGAGGGCGAAGTGATGACCCAGCACTTTACAGAGCTGGAAATTGGCACCGATGATTCGGGCTCAGATCTCTTCTTCATTTGGCCCATGGTCATCGAGCACAAGATCGATGAGAACTCCCCGCTTTACGAAATGAACGCCACCGACATGCTGCACGACAAGTTTGAGATTGTCGTCATATTGGAAGGCACTGTGGAGTCTACAGGCCAGTCTGCGCAGGCGCGATCCAGTTACATCAACACTGAAATTCTGTGGGGACATCGTTTCGATCCTGTTGTGTTGTACAACAAGGACTTGCAGGCCTACGAAATCGATTATGCGCGATTCAATGAGACCACGCAGGTGGACACGCCGCTGTGCAGCGCGCGGGAGTTGAATGAGATCTATAAAATACAGGAGGGCTTCCGCACACCAGGTAGATCAGGCACAAATCTCTTTAAAATCCGTAATATCCCGCTAATGAAAATCTCGTCTTTGTCCCCGCAGAAACCACCTTCACCATGCGCCAATTACCCCACAACTATTCCGATCAAGCGTCATAAGCTTTTGTGTCGTCCAACATTCCATAATTGTATTTTGTTGCTGTAGTATGTAGTTTGTTGTCCATTGTGTTATGCAATCAGCTTTCTGTTCCATGCACCCACCACCTTGTGTAAGTTGCTATGAAATCTCTTTGTGTATTCAAAACAGCCATCAACTTGGAGTCATTTTAGATTAATTATAAGCCCAAATTATGCCAAGTTAAAAGCGTATATTCCGTATCATTATAAAGAAAGTACTTTAAGGCATTTAAAACCAACATAAATAAACAAATGTGAAGAGGAAAAACCATTTCGCGATTAGACAAAAGCTTAAATCGCAGTATAAATTATTTCATGAACTGACAACACATGACATGGAAAATAAGTTCGCACAAAGTATTTAAGAATTGAAACATTTTTAATTATAGCTGAAGCTTTCTGTAAAAATGTTTGAGCATTGTTCGGTTTTAACTGAACATTTTGTTTGAAATTAATAAGTAAGTATCAGACAAAATCATGTACTGTTGCCATTTTTATCACAATTGTTTGTTAATTATATTTTTTGTTTTGGATTTTTAGCGCCCACATCAACAGCTATGCGGCATTCCTCTCCCAATTCCTCGACACATTCTTCGAACACTTGCAGCTCGGGCTTTCATTCCGGGGACTCCACCCTTCAGTATGGACAGACGCGAAAGCTGCGATATGTGTGGCAATTATCTGTGCCCGGAAACGGCCGCAAGGCATTGCCGAACCGCCTGCCCTTGCGCAGAGGCTGTTCTATCGACACTTAATGCTTGGTTTTTAGTTCAAAATATAAGTTAATAAATGCTTGAGTTTTACTTTTGTTGCTCTACAAAACTTGTATGCTGCAGTCATATAAATGACATATAATTGCCTGGTAGCTGTCGCTTAGTAGCAGTTTGTTGTTGTGGTTGCTGCTGCGGCTGTGGCTGCGATTGCTGCTGCTGCTGCTGGTGCTGGTGCTGTTGGTCAACCTACCCACTCATTAGGCATCATTAATAATCCTGACTAAAAGGCAAGGCAAGGCAGGCATATCATGCTGAAGGTGCCAAAAAATTGTTCGCGAACAGAAAACAAACAGCATGCAAAAAACGAGCAGAAAAAGAAAGGCATGTCCCAAAACAAGTTTGTTGCTCAAGTCTTTTGTTTGTTCGCTTTGAGTGGGGGGGTGGAAGAATGAAGCAATTTATGTGCATGGCGCCAACGTAAAGCATTCATATCCTTTTAATTGAAATTGAATACATAACTCTTATTTGCACAAACTAATCAACACTAAATTATAACACTCACAAGGTTCGCAGCTCTCTGCGGCCCCCTGCTGCTGCCCCAATCCAGTGCCCAAGCACTCTAATATTTATTATCACATTTATCACCAGCCAGGCGCGCACTGTTTGCTGCCCGCTAATGAAATGTGGGTGTGTACCTTTTGCATATGCACGGCCCATAAATACAATGCCAAAATTCAGCAACTCTATTACGACTGCCCAAAAAGCCAAATCCGAAGCTGAAACAAAATGAATGCCGCCCGCCAAAGGGGTGGGGTGTGCCACAGAGCCGCCACATGGCAGTTGCTAATGTTGAGGCTGAGTGTTGTGCGTCCTTAACCCAGTTGCGGCCAAAGAACATGCACGCCAGCCAGTCAGTCAGTCAATTGAGTGGCCAGCTGAGTCGGTCCACAGTTTCAGGCAGGCAGGCAGGCAGGCAGGCAGGCATTATGTTTAATTACTTGTTAAATGTTTGTCGCTCTTATCGGCTGTTGCAGGTTTAAGAGTCCGACTGCAGACCATTAGGCAAGGCACCCACAATATGTTGACACTATTGGCTGCCACTACCGTGTAGTTGACGTGCGTCACTCTAATGGCCAATGATTGGCTTGCTAAACGCTTGCCTGCTGGCTGGTTGCGCGTCACTGCTACGTGCGCCACATCATGGGGCAACCTCTAATGTGCTGGCGTGCCAAAAAAATATTTAAAGAAACAACATTTTCAAGTATTATAAGCGCATGCAACGATCAAGGCACATGATGCTGGCTGCCAACGCTGCATGTGGCACGTTGCAGACAAAGGCGCCACCCAAATGGCTGTCTCGCATACTCGTACATACAAGTGGATGCCGTTGCCGCCACAATCCAAGTCCCAGTCCGAGTACAAGTCACATTCGCAGTCCCAGTCACAGTCGCTCATATTTCCTCGAATTGTTGTCTGCATTAGTCAATGTTTGCTGCGATTTGTGTGCGCCTGAGCATGACAAAAGCATATTGGAAATATAATTTTTCGTGTAATTGTTAATGCGCTACGCCAAGAATCAGAAAATCGCTGAAATAGCTAGATATACTTAGCAGTGAATTCAACCTGCAAAAATCTATATAGTTCATTAATATCATATGCAAGGTGACCAACGTTCAGCAACTACAGACGCAGCTGGATAAGGTTCTATCGGCAAATTGTTCGATTCTGGAATTGGAAAAACAACATTTCGAACTCAATGAAGCAGCATACTTGTATGTAACTAACTGGCTTGAAATTAAAGCATGGTTCGATTGAAGACTTAATTACTTTGAAAAATGTCGTGTTGAGCTCTGCAGAAAGTAAATAAATGAATAAAAGTATTGATATTGACAAGCAAAGATATTATAATTCAACTAATGTAATTCGTTAGTTGGCACAGCAACAATTAATTGGTGGCAGACTAGTACTTTATTTAAATTCAGCAAAATAAGTATGGCTTGAATGCAGCTCGAACACGGCTTGAAATCTGTAGTTACCAAAAGGTAATTATACTAATGCGCTTATTTTCATGATATATATTAAATATTTTAAATTTTGTCAGCATCTACCAAAGCTATGATGAATCCTACCTATTGTCATAAATTCAATGTTAGGTTAATTCTATAAAGCAATTGCCTTAGAGCAAAGAATATCCGCCTGCCTAATGCTGCGAAGTCGCGAATAAAATGCTTTTCTCCTCCTATCAAGGCTGCAGGTGTCATTTATTTACTTGACAATACATCGACTTGCAAAAGTTAATTTTGACAGTTCTGGTGCCTTTAATATTCAAAGTTTAATAAAAAAATAAGCTGTTTTGGTTTTTTTATTTCGCGCCTTTATTAAAGCTACTAAATAATTCTGAAACTTAATTAAAAATATAACATTTCTATTAAAATAAACGCGTTATAAAAGGGGAACGTGGCTCTTAACCTACTTACTTGTATATAAAAATAAAATCAAAACAGTTGGTCACCTTTCAGATGCCAAGTAATGCAAATTTGGCTTCTACCTCCAATTGGTAGTTCAGCACACACACACACAACACACACACACATACATAACTAACTGCTTGTTTCCCATGCGGCAGCCGCAAGAAAAGGAAAAAAAATATTGGCTGAGTGCCGAACACGCCTTAAATGTGACCTGTCAGCAGTCATAGTCGATTTAGTGGCATTTTATTGTTAACGAAAATATTTACTACGCTTGATATTTAAAGGGGAATTGCAAAACATGTGCGAGCGTCGCCGCTTAGAGTGCGACACAATTTGCTGAGTGCCAAATAAAGACATCAATTGCCGGATGACTCAGGTCGCACTGATAAAGCACTGGCCGGGTATGAAAAACAAGCTTAAAATTAACTGCACGCCCAGCGCTCAGCAAGAGGAGCGAAATTAAGAGGCTGAGGCGAAAAAGAAACAGCAGTAGAACATGCAACATAACTCATCCATAATCAACACTGTTTACATAAATTTCAGAAATTATTACACGGCTGCACAGATGACTAGAGGGAAGCTACCATGGAGAAGAACACACTGCCAGGGCCCCAATCGAACATAAACTCGGATACGGACGCGGACGCGGACGCAAACGCGGACTCGGACGTAGACGCAGCGCGTGATGAATGCTTAAATAATGCGCTTAACCCTGTGCGAACATAATTTATGGTGTGCAGATATACCCGACGAATATGAGTATGGCTATGGGCATAAGCATGAGACTTGAAGTACGCCTGTGCACAACACATACTCAGCTTTTTTTTCATTGTTATTGCACGGCCCTTGCCGTTGCTTCTGCCCCTGCCCCGGCTCCCGCTGTTGCCACTTTGCTCAAATTGATTAATTACGGTTATTCTTCGAGGCACAGCAGCCGCTGCATATAGTAAGTAGCATAAATGCCATAAAACCAGGCAAGGAAGCTGCCAAGCTCCCTGCTCGGCTCCCCCGTCTGTTCCACTTGCAGAAGCCAAGTCATTTGCCAGTAAGGACAAAGCCGCCAAAAATGAAATTACTCAAGCGTAGCAGCGACGACCAAAACGTTGACGCTGTGCCGCTACATGCCGCAATTGATTTAAGTTATCCCGAAATGCAACAAGTAAGAACCGCTTGGTGGAGCTTAGCTGGCTATGGAATGCCCTGCGAATCTTTATCCCGCTTAAACATGTTGGGGTGTTCTATTTCCGACCAATAACTAACTCGTGTGAGAACCAACTGAATAAGGTCTGATTTTGCTGAGGGAGATATAGTTATAAGCGAGCTGTACAGAGATTTTCTTATCATATTTTCATTATAAATGTATATATCCTAAAGTTGCAGATTCAATAAAATTTTATATAGTTCCTTTACATTTCTTCCTACTACTATGCAGCAGATTCTATATTTTCAAACTGAACTAAATTATTATCTTATCTTTCCATTATAAATGTATATATTCTAAAGTTGCAGATTCAATCAAATTTAATTTAGTTCCTTAACATTTCTTTCTTGAATGTTGTCATGTTGCCAACTTTTATTAACTTTTGAAAAGTGTGAGCACAAATGTGCTCTTTCCTAATAAAATTCCGTTGAGATTTAAAGGATTTAAAAGCCAAGTCAAATAATAGACAGACCTATGAAGAATTGAGGGAATATAATTGAGAATAGATTTTTGTACTCTCATGGATACATCCGCTACAGCCAAATTGCACCGCTTATCCTTCGGCTGCAGGGTATACAAAAATGCACAGTCAGTGTGATGAAGGAAGAGCGAGTAGTAGATGTCCAGAGTGGCGGCAATAGGGCGCGTTGCCGACCGGCCATATATATAAAATTATGAATCGCCTAAAGGGGCGTGCTGCATGTTCTTCTGTAATAAGCATTTTTATGTCGCAACAACAATTTTTACTGTCGACTTCGGCTGCCTTTGCCAGGGGCCTAAGCCGCCAACATTGTGCCGCTGTAGCAGTGGTGGCTACTATGGGTTAAATGCAAGGAAATATGCTTAACACGCCGCTGCCGCGGATGCTGGCAGCGAGCAAGGCGACATGTTGAGTTGATGATGCCCGCTGG